GCTACGCCCCTGCTTTTCTCGAATAACCCTCCAGTCTCAAGCTCGTAACACTGAAAGTTTAAAGATCTTAAGGTTAGCCTAAAAGGGTTTAATAAGGTTTCTTACGCTCTTGCTAAGCTCACAGTCTGCTCTTGTAGTTACTCCTGCTATCCCCCATTTCTTTTTTTTATCTTTTTAGCTTTATTATTAAGCACCGTTTTCTTCCCACTTACATCACAGATAGCTCGACAACAAAATGACAAAATTTTTAAAAGCTCAATGGCAACATATATTTAGAATTCTCGATGCAGTGTTAAGTGTGGGCATACACTTTTATGTTCTTTTCAGGCTGTTCTCAGTTCAAGATATCAATATTCAGTTTTCTTAGTGAGATGACTAATATTTTTTCTTCTTTTTTATCGTTAATTTTATTTATTAAATATCACGTTCATCGCACTTACGCCACATAAAATTCAGTTCAAGAGCAAAATCACAAAATATTTAAAAACAGCACAGCTTCAAAATTCCCAACAGATTGTTGGAGTTTGCCATATATATTTTTATATTCGTTATATTATTTCTTTAAAAACTAGCCACTCGTGCTCCGTCTAAAATAGTTATCATAAAAAAAGTATATAGTAATTTTAGTAGCTAGTAGAAGTTCATTAATGTATTGAAATTAATTGGTTTCTAATTAGGTATCTCATGATTTTAATATATGTCTATTTAAATCAATCGCATTAAAAAGCAGAAAATTTTTCTTAAGAACTATGATTGTTGCTTTTAAGTCGCTTATTTTATTACTCGGTAACCTTACGGATTCAATTTGAAAGTATCTTAGGCTTTACTGAATGGCAATGCGTTGGCGCGTAGAAGAAAAAAGCATTTTGTTTCCGGCAACGGCAACACACTGCTTTCATAGAGCCGAGTTTTATAACTAAAAGTAAAAGATAAATATCTTACATTTTTTCGAGTAGCAAGTTTCGGGTGCAGGAGATAAAAATATTTTATTTCAACCAATGGTTGCGAAATAAAGGACCTCTGTGGACACGTTATATATGTATGAAAAATAAAGAATATGTAAAAGATTAAATTAGCAAGTAAATTTACCTTCTCAGTTCTAAAAATAGTAACCTCTCTCTGCACTGCGTCATTTCTAGATTAATCTATGTGATATGACTCTTACATAATTCTGGTGATACAAATGGAACTAAAACTTAAAACAACCAATACAGTACAAAGCCCGTAATCCGGACTCGTCGGGACTTCGGCGATTCCGGATTAGGGGTTTTTCCGGATTATAGATCAGCAATTTAAACCTGGTAAGATGGCATGCAGAAATTATACAATTAAAAATATAAAACCCTAATTTATGAAATAAAGAGCAATTATGATCTAAAGGGTATCAAAATTTACAAAAAATAAGCTTAATATTTATTTGTTTACTTTATTAAAACATTTCTTTCAATGTAAGTTGTTTAAGTTTTTTTTTTTTGGTGTGTGTGTGTGCTAATACTTTCTCTTTAATTCTAAAAAGAGACATAATTTCTTGTTCAGTTACAAAGTTCCACTGTTCAAGTCCTGTAATTGCTGTGTCGAGAATACCGACTAACTTGTCAGTCGAAATAACTCTCTGTCACTTTCTTCACTATCGGAAGTGCGCATGGGTAAACGCTTTAGGCGCATGCGTAGCGGACGCGCTTTAAAAGCGCATGTGCAAATGCTTTACGCGCATGCATAAGTTTGTGGCTTTGAGGTCCGGATTATAGATCATTCCGTATAATGGACGTCTGGATTACGGACTTTGTACTGTATTAATTTTACAGGAATATTAATCACCCTATCAAAATGCATTGAAAACCAAAACTAACTCAGTCTGAATTAATTTCACCCTGAACATAACGCACTTGCTTTCAACTCTTTGGCCTAGCTGGAGTGCTGTCTGTCTGCTCTATCTTACTGCAAATTTATCTAAAATGTAAGCTTTTTGGAATAGGCATATTTAATGTGCCAACTTGTTTGTGGCCGCAACATGTTTGCTGAAATAGAAAATGAAGATTTAATCTGCCTTCACCTCCAATTTCCTATTCATTATGGATCAACACTTCTACGCCATCAAAATTTCTGCTAGTCGTTACTTCAAAGTTTGTTTTTATCGCACGGAGATATTTTCTGTTTGCTTTCCTTTTGAAAATTGTTAGAATTAACAGCTACTGAAAATAGTCCCTTTTATTCCTCAATTTCGTTTGGCTACTTTTCTTTTCTGCCCTAAAAATAATAATTGTTAATATAGGAATTTAAAATAAGTCATTTCAAAATCAATTCGCATCATGCCATCTTACGTAACACATAGCAATGCGGATATCTTTTTACCCAATAACAGGTCAAAATTCCAAAGAAGAACTAACTCTGTATCTTAAGCTTCTGCTGAATGCGTGCTTATTTTTCCACTTTGCTTTGCTCTGTTAACAGCTTACGACTAATTGCTATCTATCGTCCATTGTCTTGTAAGCTTCGAAAAATTGTAGGCTACCTATTGCGCCGCTCATGATATAGGAACAAGAATTGTCTAGTAATAAATATAAATTATCTTCGGCTACATGTGTGAGTAAATGTCATCTTCGGATCTACGCTGAAAAGCCTTCGCCAAGGTATTACAACGCCACCATCTCCTATTCACTGTGCATTTGTGGGCCAAAGAGAATCCCCACGTTGTATGGCGGCACAACGTTGGTTCCCAGTAAATGTGTGAGCAGGTTTAGTTGGCGACTGCTTAGTCGGGTCATACCTTTTACTATCCTCGTGACCGCCGCGAATTATCGGATCTTTCTGAAGCAGGTTCTTCCTGGATTACTTGACGATATTCCAGCAAATGTGAGGTACAAAATGTGGCTCCAACATGATGGGACGCCTGATCATTTTGGGCTGGCTGTTCTTAGGCACGTGGACAGAGCATTCCCGCTTCGATGGATTAGGTACAGTGAACCGGTTCCCATTCTTTCTCTTAGGAGCCCTCAAAGCTATCGTATACACCATCCTGAGGAGTCTGAAATGAATTTCAGGGCAAGTCTTGTCTGTGCTGCTGCTACAATCAAAGCTAGCAGTGTGTTCGACCGTTTCTGGAAATGAATGTTCCGTAGGTGTCAGGCTTACTTAGCGTCTGAGGTGAAAATTTTCAGCATCTGCTGTAAGATGCATTCTTCTCGTACGCCATTTATACTCATGATGCCCAATAAATATTTCAAATTAATCACTCTCCTGTGTCCTTTTTGATCTTCTACCACTTACCTCTGACGTGGACGGTCATGGATTTCTATGCAGTTCTCAACCCTTATGATGTGCCTTACCTCCCTTCAAAGTTTGTCGCTACAGTTTTGAGACACCCTATATACATATGTAATGAACTAGAAAGGTTAGAAGTAGAGGATGCATCATATATGAAGAAGTTTGCAAAGGCGACAGCTTTAATAAGAAACAGTAGAGGCAGATCTAAATATTCATTTCTATTTTAATTGACATTTGCGGTCACAAATAACTTGGCGTTATAATCGGCCCTGTTCCAGAACATTTACATTTTTGATATTGTTTCGATAAGTAGGGATCAGCGCGACAGCAGTCTATAAGTTCTAGGCCAAGAAGCAGAAGCGAAATGCGTTGTGTTCTGGACAAAATCTTACCTCATAATAAATTAGTTTCTATTTCGATAGCTTCTGATTAGCTAGTTAATTGCGCTCTAAAACTATTATTGGCTGTTTTTCGTTCCCAAAACCATTTATGTCATCAGCATTATGTAAAAGTCATATGATATTGATTAAGGTACAACTGAAGGTAGCCAAAAAATTTTATTATAAGCAGTTGTTATTTTTAGAAGAAAAAGGGAAAATATCCTAATTAAAATGAGGAATTAAGGAGCTATTGCATATTTAAGTTAGAATTTTAATTTACGTACTTTTTAGCTTAAATATTTACATAGACACTAAAAGCCACATTTTAAGATGAGAAAAGAATTAACTTTTTAATAAACATAATAGTAATAGGCATATAGAGAGTTTTATGATCATGATTGGCCTCCAAAACTAAATTCTAAGTACGCTACTTATTCAGAAAAATCTAGAAATGTTTTCTAAGGATTTTCATGCCAGTCGGAGGCGTTAAGTTAAGGTAGCTAAGGGTATCGTACTCTTCTTTCCTTTTCTCAAAGTATTACGGGAGGCATATAAGTATTCTATACCGCGCCGCGCACTTAGGAAATAATCCCTCCTCGTGACTGGATATGGCTTTCGATGACATCGTCTCCTGTGCGCTTAGGAACGCTTTGACTTTGCTTGGACTTGAGGGTACACCTCCATACGTTTGTTTACATTTTGATAGCAGTACTGGAAAGATTATTACCTGCGTTGTATTTTTGTTGCTATGAGATTACACTCCCTACAACACTGTAGTGTGGTGAATTTAATATAAAAAAATTTAATGATATTTTTTCCTAGAGAGAAAAAGTATTATTTCTTCTTGTGCTAACTCCGTAAATGTGTATTTATATTAAGTGCAGAGTTTTTAATAAAAGTATGCTTAATTTAAAACCTTTACATTAAAGGTGTAGTGATTATTAATTCATTATTTCATTTTCCTTATATATCCATTCTCTGCAGATGCAATCCCCGAAAGCATAAGACAAGTCAGTTTTCGCAAACAGAAAACAAAACGCGGTACAGAATGCTTATATGCTTACAGGAGTCACATACTATGTTCCCATACTATGTTCCAAAACAAGTAATCAGTCTGCTAAGAACACTTACCCAGACTTATGTGGTATAACAGGAACCGTAATTTATCTACTAGATATTATTAATATTAGGAATTTTCACTAATTACTAACTGATCGGCGCTTAGTATGCAAGAATATAGAAGGCCATAGTATGCAAGAATGAAGTGAGTTCAAGACCAAGCCATGCCGCTTCGAATTGAATTTCATTTCAGAAAGAAGGGAAAAAACAACTAATTTCTTTTTGGGGAAAGGTAAAGGGGAAAAATAAAACCGGTAGCAACGTGTAAAACAACGTAAAATGTTAAGATTGGTAAATTTCGACGAGAGATATAGGTTATGATTAAAGCTGTTCGTTAGGATTTATGAATACTGAAATTTAAGTTTTAATTCATAATGATATAAGACACTTTCACGCGAATATTTAGATTATTTTTCTTATAATTTTTATCGTAATATTACCGAAAAATATCTCTTTAATACCCATTGATAGAATATTTAGCATATGTAAGTTCCCTTTTCATAATGTGAAACATATTTTATGTCTGTATTATAAGAAATATTTTAATGCTTAAACATTTTTGTTTTGTTGTAATCTTGCGTATGTTTGTTAATCGGTAATAAAATAATGTATGATGCGTTGTATTTATTGTTTTCGAAGTGTGTCTTTAAAAGAACTTATCTTGTTACCTAAAAAGATATTTTTTTATCTTACAAAGTAAGAGAGAATTTTCTCCCAAAGCACCCAGAACCTTGAATTATAATTATATATGTTCTTTAAAAGTAATAATAACTTAAGCCCAATTTATACTATTTTGTATTTTATTAAATTAAAAAGTTTCCTGTAAAACATATTTTGTTTGTATTTAAATATACTTCACCTTTGAAATATTGATTCATTTGTTTGTAGAAATCTTAAAGAATGTATTTATAGAGGTATAGTCTCTGCTACCTGTAAATGTGACTTATCTAACCCAATTTAAAAGTCATATTTTTTTTTCATTCCTTTTCATATTATGGTTAGCAGCAGTTAATGCTGTAATAATATGTCGATTACAAAAAATAAATATTCTGACTGCGGAATTTTTGACATTTTTTATTATAGTTTACAGTGTATTTTGTATTTATTATATATCTGTCCAGAATAGCCAACTCAAATATTTTTTGAAATTCATTTGGTGTAATTGTGACACTAAAACACTATCCAACCTGAAATATTTACTTATAAACTTCGATATTATTTAATATAAACTTTGGTATTAAGAAACTAAATTGAAATAATGAATAAAATCTCATTTAAACAAATTATTATTTTACATCATACAAAATACTTTTTATTGTATTAAAAATCAAAGGCTAGAGTGAGACTGCTAAAATTAAAAAGTAAGTTTTTAACTAAAAGTCTGTATGTGCATTTACTAACAGCAATAGATATCAAGAAAAAGATTAATATTTGGTACTCTTCTGTTATCAGGACTGGTTTTAGAAATTATGTATGTACACACATGTGTATGTATGTATGTGCATATACACACAACAAATGCATATACATGCATATACACACAACAAATGCATATACATGCATATGCATGTAAATGCTTATATACATAAACACATGCCCACCAGCGGCCGAGCGGTAAAGTCACTGAACACTGGTAGTTCGGTCTGAGGTTCGAATCCCGGGAACGGGCTAACTGCATGGGCGTTTTCATGGTTTTGCCCATGTGTAACGAGTATATGAGCCAGTTTCCTTTAGAAAGTCCTTCACGAATGCATCCTTTCCCTTAGGAAGTAAGCCCTAGTGGGCCTTGCTATAATTAAATAAAATAAAATAAACACACACATACATTTCTGAACAATGGCCTGATAACTGAAGAGTACCTAATATTTTTATGTTCGCAATTGCAACTCATTATTGTTCTAATTTCATTAACCCCTTAACTGCCGCGGGCATATATATACGCCTTGCTCAGCCGATGCGTTAACTGCCCCAGATGCGCAGCCGATGCGTTAACTTTGCGAATAATTTTAGGTGTAGCAGCGCAAAGCAAATGATAGCAGTTTGGAAGGACGTATATATACGCCTGGGGCAGTTAACGCATCGGCTGAGCAAGGCGTATATATACGCCCGCGGCAGTTAAGGGGTTAAGAACGACGAAATTTGTAACATTGTTTAATGAGTCTATTAAGAGTGTTTCACAAAATTTCTCATTATTTGTAATTTGGATTCAATTAAAATTGCTAAAAAAAATGAGTATCAGCATGTTCATAATGCATACAAAAAATTTTTAAGTGTGCATTCAGTTAGTTTACTAAAAGAAACAATATAAATTCGTATTTATAAAATTGCTAAGCAGTGAAAAAAAATACTTGTAAAAGAAGAGCAGTAATACCCCCTTTCCCGAAAATTTCAATCTAATCTTCACATTCAAATTGCAGCTTTAAGCTAAACAGGTCTAGATAGGCCTAGTTTAAGCATTAATTTGCAGAATTTTAAGATACAAGACATAAAATAAGTTGTTCAAAATAAACAGTTCCAAATCCTAGAGATAGAATTAGATGCAATATTATTCTGTCTTAAATTAACAGCCTTATGAAGACATTTGTACTTATTTAATACAGAAAAGACTTTGAGATGTAGTTTTGTGTTACTTTCCAGGATAGCTCATGCAAAAGAAAACAACATAGCTTCCTTCAAATAAAGAATCAACATTTTCTGCTTTCTCACGACATGAAATTAGTATACTGAAACCAATAATAGTTGAATTTAGCAATTTGAAAATAATCATGAAAACCCTTGATTTAAGAAGATACTTTTAAGATCTGAAAAGCCTGTTTTACTTAGCTTTTTTATGCATAAAAAGTTGTTCATTAGCAGGAGTTGCCAGCTAAACAAATTTAAGGTATAAAAACATAAAAGATATGTGCAAATGTTGTGAACCAATTTAAGATATAATGTTAAGGTTTATGTTAAAAATATCTTTTGTTCCAAGAGATAAGAATTATAAAAGTCAAGATGAGTATCCAACCAATCAGTAAGAAGACATGAATTCCGCCAAGCTTTACCTTACTGTTTTAACTCATCTTGACTTTTATAATTTTGTTCCAAGAAATATAATATCTGAAATTATCTCTAAAAATCCCATTTATTAGAAATTATTCGCATCTAGTTATTGAAAAATGTTGTAAAAGCCATTGTTTTTTTTTTATATCTAAAGTTACAATAGGTAATTTTGTCCAGAACAAAAGGAAAAACTTCAAAATTTAGCTTCAAATGGAAAAATTGCTTCAATTCAAGGAAAAAATGGAATATTTTGAATTTTGCAAAAGTAAGATCATTAATGTTAAAAGAAAATACGCCAAGTCAAGGGACAGTTCAAAAATCATTAAAACTATCGGTACTTTTCCGTTTTGCCGGCGCAAGCGATAAAGTTGCCAATAATGGTACAAACGATGCCAAACGGAATATTCTCGCTGGTAACCTTTTACGCTTCATTTTCAAAACAAGTCGCAGCTTTTTCTTATCAGATTGATTGTTTCTTTCAGTAGTGGCATATAATTACATAGAATTTTTATCAGATAGTTCAGTTTTATGTCTAAGGCCATTTTTCAGTAATTAAGTCAATCAGGATGCAATCACACAGCGCTTACCCGAAGCCGAAAATATAGAAAATGTAAGTCAAGGGTTAAATTCATCAATTTCTAATGAGAATGCATTAGCGAAGTAAAGCACTGCAGGCTTTTACATTAATAGTTTCTGAGTAAGCTATTCGTACGCATTGAAATATTTCTTGCATTTAAACTTGTGTTCCAAATTAATGATTTAACTTGAAATTAATGTAGATAATTACTGAGAGCATTAGATTTTTGTAGAGTAGTTTAAAGTGAGATGAGATCGCTTGGGGGTCACGTGATATGAACCAGCGAATCAAGGATGTTGAACCATGAAAGCATAGTAAATTCTTAAATTAATGTCTTTTTACAAATTTACTGTCTTTATTTATTGGCTTTTTATAAAATTTTAAGCGATATTAAAATGTTTATGCCTTCAAAAAAAGAATTCTTAGAACTAACATTTTTTTAAATATTTTTTATGTGTATACTGTATGTTGTCGCCAATAAAGTCTGCTTGGCGAGATTTGCGCCGGCCAAACGGAAAAGTACCATACTATCAGTGGGAACTGTGAGCAAAGTGAAAGCAGCAGTTCACATGGTATGCATTAAATTGTACTGTTGTACAAAGATAGTGTAATGTAGTTTCGGTACTTTGCATTTTTGCATTCCTTCCCTGGTTTTAATATTTGTTAGAGTTACCATGTTTGTCGCATTTTTGAGAATATGTGTGACAACAGCTTACTCATGCATACACATATCATAGACCTGTTGAGTATGTACTGTGTTTTATGTTGTGTATTTAGCCATTATTTTACTTAATAGCATTCCCTGATTGTAAAAATGTGAATATAGGTCATATAGATTTTTATTCTATATTTATTTATAAAATTTCTTGTTTCTCATGAAATGTTTATTATTATTTGTGTATGGAATAGTACCAATGAGTTACAGAGATAGCCAAGCACTCGTATCTTTCCAGTGCACAAAGTTGCTAATACTCATTGCTGACTCTTTGTGGGAGTGGGGATAATTAGAAAGTACTTTTTTAAAACTGTACTACCAATGTTACTGAATATACTACAGTATTTTTCATAAAAATTATATATTCAACAACAATGAGCACTTGTGAATTTCCTTATAATCCCATCTAATTTAAAGTCTTTAAGTCTGAGCATTGCATTATATTAGTAAAGTATCATCATATGGACCCTTTTCTTTGTCTTTTCCCTTAGTGACTTTTTCGTGCCACCATTTCTATTTTCCAGTTCTAACTTAGGAACTACTCTTATATGTGCCGTCAAGTCGCCAAACGTTTTTGGTGAGAAATTCCACGGTGCCATATAATATCTAAATTTTTTGTCTATATTTCAAACTTTAAGCCCACGTTTTGAACACACAATTACGCTAAAATCTAACAACAAAGAATCCAAAACGTAAAGTTTAATGCAAAAAATTTGGCAAGAATCCATGTACAACCTATGTTTTAAAAAAAAAAAAAAAAAAAAACAATCTAGCAGCGAAAGCTACAATCGGCAGCGAAAGAATCTACGAACTATGCACACCTCGCTTTAATAAATTAACATAACAACAATAAATTTGAAAGAATACCATGTACACAGCGTTCTGTTTCAACTTTAAAAAACATCTACGAATTGCACAATCTAGGCACTATGCACTAATCAACTAAAATAATTAAAATAAATTTCAAACAATTCAAAAAAAAGAACAATGACAGAAATTCATACTAAAAAAACAATGAACATAATATTCTACAAAATAAGAACAAGAATAAAATAAAATGTACTTACCATGAATGAATGCTTTTTCGAACATCAAAAATACCAATTTCATGCCGCCGCGTAATCAGTATCGTATTTATATGACAGCCAGAC